CTAAGAACTGCTAAATAAGTATAAAAGAGTGGAGCCCCAAATTCCCTGGGCACCAAATCAGTGAAAGGACAAATGCCCTTGCTGCAATAATCCAGTCCTAAAATGGATATGAGAGGTTGTGCTTCCTATCTCTCTTCATGGGTTTCCAAATCTCTTTCCTGCATTCTGGTCTTTCCAGTGATAGAGGGGTTCTCATAGAAATCCTGCAGAATCTAAAATGCAAGCTAAGAATATTTAATATATTGACTAAATATGGCTCACTTGACATTTTCAGCTTTTGTTTTTGTTTTTTTTTTTCTTTTTTTTTAGGGGGGTGTTGGGAGTGGGGAGTGAACCCAGGGTCTTGTGCATGCAAGGCAAGAGCTTTATCACTGAGCCACATCCCCAACCTTATTCTCTACTTTGGTTCAATAGACACCTTAAACTGTACCAAAGTAGCCATAGTCTCCTGTGCCTTGTGCTTTCATCATTCTGTGGTTTTACTCCATGTCTTCTTGTTAGTGGGAAAACCTGTTTGCCCTTTCCAGCTTCAAATCTTCTAGACCATCCCAATCAGTAAGGTGTGAAATGACTGGATTAGGAGCCAGAAGACATACCTCTGTCACTTTACTTGCTTGTAGGCTTCATGATTACTTGAGCCTTCTGTAATTCTGTATTTTGATATGGGAATAGATAACAATTCCATTTCTGTCTTTCTGAGACAGTTAACATGAAAGCTTTGAAAGATGTGAACATTTGGATCTGACTTTCCAAATTGTGACAGCACTTTGTGCCTTTCTTGTGGAAGTTTACTGTCTTTTCCTTGTAGTGACAGACTAAAAGTAGAGACCATGATGCAAAACTTTTTCTCTTCTGTAGTTTCTACCATTGTACCTGTTGCAGTAATATTTTTGTGTAAAAACTGATGGAAGACTAGCGATCTCCCCTTCTTAACCTGTCTTCACAACAATTCTTGACTCACTCATTGCAAACATTTTATACTGCATCAGACTCATCACCCACCCTTTTCTTGCTCTCCAATTTAGGTGATGTCTTTCCTGTGCAAATGAATCCAATAGCTCAGTCTCAGTTTGTACCCTTGGCTGAAGTTCTTTGCTGTGCTGTGTCTGATATGAACATAGCTCAGACTGCAGTAACACAAGAATCACTTCTGGAGTACTTGAAGAAACATTACCCAGGTAGAGTAATACATTTTTCTTGTTCTCAGTTCATTACATATTTGGTTTCTATTTATAAATAATCTTAAACATAAGTAAACTGAGTGGTAACTTTTTCCCCCATTGAATATTATTATCAGAGCCTTGACAGAAAAGGTCTTGCATCAACAAATTTGATGGGCTGGAGCTATAGCTCAGTGGTCTAAGCACCTGCCTGGCAACACAAGGACCCAGATTCAACTCCTCATGCCACATGCCATGCCAGCAACTGAAACCAGGCGTGGTGTCTGTCACACACCTGTAATCCCAGCACTGGGGAGGCTGAGACAGGAGGATCACTATGAGCCTGAACTGCGTAGTGAGACCCTGTATCCAATAAATAAATGAAAAAATTTAAATTAAACAAATTTGATATTTACTTTTCAGATGAATATTGTCAAAGGTGAATGCTTGAGGCAATAAATAAATCAGAGTCTATAAGAAGTGGTGAAAAAAAAAGAAGTGGTGAAAGGAAATGGAAATGTTCATCTTCTTCCACCTTTCATTATGCCATTTCTATTTCACAGTTGCCATTGCTTATAGTTCTCATGCATGCTTTCATAAATTCTATTTGAATATATAATACACCTATATGTACATACACACTTTTTGTGCTTAGAGATTGAGTCAAGGGCCTTTGTACTGAGCTACATCCCTATCCCTTTTTTAAATTTTTTATTAGAAGTCACTAAGTTGCCTAGGCTGGGCTCAAACTTGCAGTCCACAGTCTCAGCCTTCCAGACTGCTGGGATTACAAGTATGTGCTACCATACCTTCTATAAATGTTCATGTCATCAATGAAATTATTACATACATTCTTTTCTTATAAAGATTAAAGTCATGATTTATAAAAATGTGGTTTATAAAAGTGCCCATGTTGAAATTCTACATCATTTATAATATTTTTATTATCACTATTTTGTATTCTCTTTATCAAATAAAAACAATTTAAAATAAAATAAATTCCCCAGTTTGCTTGGCAATAATTCTTTCCTTAAAGTTAAAATTTTTTTTAGATTTTACACTGGGCTAAATCTCTACCACTGAGCCATATTCATAGCCTACCAATTTGAAATAGATTTATGTTTTTTTCTATATTTTAGGGAAGGGTCTGCAGGGTGTTCAGGGTCTCACTACTAGATCGGACTTGTAGTGATTCTCCTCTTTACAGGCTCCCCAGTGCTGGGATTACAGGTGCGCGCCACCACACCCAGTATCAATCACTGTTTCAGTATGCCCCGGAGGTGGAGCCAGCACAGCAGGCCTGGGGATCAAACCCCCAGCCCCTGCAACTAGATTTATATTTTAGTGAATTCAGATTTTTCCCTTTTGTCTAACCATTAACTTTCTATGTCTTTATGGGGCTAATTTATATTGATATATTCAATTAAATCAAGAATAAAATTTTGTTTCTTTGGTATTTCACTTACATACATTAACTGCATTACAACAATTAGTTTGGGTTTTATTAAACAAATGTGTAGTCATTTCTCTCTCTCTCTCT